TTTGTATCGAGGAAGAATAAACTGGGTTAATCAAGAAAGGACTTGTATCGCTGAAGTTTCTCGGAAAGAATTTATACCGGAAATTAACAAACAAGCAGAGACGTAACAACATGTAAAGAGAAAATGTCTAGGAAAAGATTAAGTATCATAATATAAAAGCGTATATTTAATGAAAAAATAAGATAAAAAGAGGTATTAATTCCAGCTTGATAATAGTGAATTTATTATTAATTTTATAGCTCAATGTAAATATACATGCAGCTCTGTACGTAGAATGTTTGAAAGTGAGTTTCTAATTTGTGAGATCGAAAGTAAACAGATATGGTGCGAAGCACAATCAGCAGGAAAAGCATGCTAATGCTACGGGCGTCTGGGAGGCATACCCACAGAAAATTTGTAAAAAAAAAAGGTGCCATGAGGTTAAACCTGGGAGCAATTTTTCATGAAATATAGCTTAACAATTGCATGGCTGTTCACATAAAATCCACAAACATCCAATGAAAATTCAACAAATCATCATACTGTTGTAACATTCCATAGGGAGTTAGACATAAATTAGGGTAAATATGTATGTTTTATTATAGCAAAGTACTGTACTATCTACATGACAAATAATTATTAATTTCTTAGTTATATTAATAACTTATATAAGCTTTTTTTTTTACATCATAAAAATAGGTGGTTCGGTCGAACCTTCCTACTTTGCACACACGTGAGACATGTCAGTTATTATTCGCGAAACATTTGGAACTATATATATATAAGTGTTGATTATTACACTACAATATCAAAAAACACAACAAAAAACACATATATTATTGAAATAAACGTACAAAATAAATCATATAATTTTATAATTAAACTGGATAAAAAATCACGCAACTTATGTCATCGACATTAATGTTCTTAAATGCATAACCGTTATGGTTACAGAACTTTTATATTTCCAGCTAGAGAAATATAAAATTCGTTTGATAAAGGGTAGTTCAATTTTTTGAGTATGCTTTGATTATAAATTTTAAAATACATAGTTAATTATATCCTTTATGGTTTATTATATATATACACACACAAATTGGTAAATTACATATTGAACTCTTTCTGTAAATTCGTTGATTTTCACAAGTAAAATATTTCTTATTTGCTTTATATTCTTCCTCTTTCGTAGAATATTTATAATAACTTGTACAGAAAAAGTTTTCGGTGGATGTGATATTTTCTCACTAGGCTTTCGTTGAGCTGCTATTTAAGTATATAGGCTTACCGGTTATTAAAGTTTCATATGGGAGTACTAGCCTGTACTTTCGAGAAACAGTTTTATATCACATTTATGGTTGGGAGATATATTATTAGTTATAGAATCTCGCGGGATAACTATAGTTTTTAAAAGGTAGAGCATACAAATGGGCATTTGACTTAGAAATAACTGGCGGACATAGTCTCAAAATACTTAGAGTTAATCGACTTTACAAAAACGATATTCCAGGTTCTACGCTGACCTTGGAACTACTTCCCGCAACGTAAATCGTGCCATACCTCAGACCATGACTGAGCAAAATTTCTTGACACCACATTGCAACAAGCTCCTACGCAAGACTGCGAGGTTAATATTAGATCATAAATCTTGACAAACATTCCACAGGCCTTCTACTGTACGCAATATCTACTTTCAAAACGTTTAAGTTAGAGGTATAAAAATCGTCGGAGCTTCAACGAGGGATTTCGCAAGCATGTAGTCGAATAAGATAGCTCTTATTTTAGTTTCTTCGGCGATCGTAAAAACGATCTTAACTTCGAAACGTGTCTAAAGCTTTTGAGTTGCATTGTTGATTAGTCTGGAGTTCACCATGAATAATTTATATGGATTCTAAGCATGTCGTCCGTGACAACGCGCCTCCATATTAGCACAACAATTCGTTCTTATAAAGTTTGTTTGTTGTTAAGAGCAAATCTACTCAATGGGCTAGCTGTGCGCTGACCACCGAGTGTATCGAAACTTGATTTTTAGCGTTATAAGTCATCATAGTTACCAGTTAGACAACAGGGAGGTCTCTTATAAAGTGCATTACATTAACCTTGTGTGTATTTAGTCCTAAAACAGCATTAATTAAATATTTGTATATTCGATACAAATAGATACTAAGCAAAATAAGAAAATATATTATCAAGTAATAACTAAGACTAGGAACTAGAAACATAAAGCTTCTTTTAGTGGTTTAAACTGCTAGAGTTACAAAACTGGAAAAATATGCTTTAAAACTCAGAAGTGTATAATATGATAGAAAAATTAATTTCCTGGTTTACGAATTTACTCACGGAAACAAGTTGAATGTTTGATTCTGCAAAATCACATTCGAGTTCTATGGCTCTGGAGCTGTATAACTGCCGAACACTACCTGTTCCGACGAAACGACCAGGATAGAGGTCGATATTTGTGGGATGAATATATCCTGAAGTTTCTGTCACTTTATCCATATATGTACCAACAATAATTACAATCGCCCTTGCTATAAAATGGTTCATGTCAGGTTAATTCCGAAATCTCTCGTTTATTTTCACCAAGAAAATATTTGTTTACTCTCTCTTCCGTTCGCGAAATTCCTTTTAGGAAACTCTGAGCCTATCGAAGACCGGTGGTTTACATTAAACATAAGTTAAGCTACTGTGTTGATATGTGAGGGTGGTATTACAGTTTTTATTTATGTTTTCTTTTTGAAAACATCACTGAAGCGAAACTGAACACTCATCTTACTACGTATACACAGAGAAAATGAATGCGAATTTTCTATTGAAATACTTTTGTGAGAGAACAATGGTCACACCCAAATGATACATTCGTTTTGTGATATAAATCTGTGTCAAGGTTCTCCCCTAATTTTTGGATATTCCTTTATATCTCTTTTCTTTAATCTTACTCGCTATGTTCATTATATCCTTGTAGCAACTACTTACCTCCAATATTTTAATATCTTTCTTCTAAAGACTAAACTATTACAAGTTTATCGCTGGTCTGGTATACAAAATCTATAATAACAGACCCGTATAAACTTATCCTTAGTGTTAAACATTTGTATGCTCGAACAGAATACCTTTAACGTGTTCTGATATCAATGACTCTGGTATTGTGAACGTTGTTAAATCACGCACATTGCTACATATTTAAACAAACTTAATCTTGTAAATTGAGGAAGCAACACATACATAGTCTTCATTACATGAAAAACGTTCACCTTTGTAAATCGCGTGCTACAAAACGAGATTTATTATGCGGAACGACACTACGGTTTCCTCAGCTTTCTTTCCACTATCTTGTTCGCATTTTTTTGAAGGATTAATATCAGCCATCCTTACATTTACTTCCTTTTTTCTGAAATGTTTTTCTTTACTTGTTTGCTTGCTGTTTTGATGCAGTGTTTCAATAAACATAGGAAGGTTGTATTTATAACCACCTTCTAAATACAATGAGGTTCCAATTGTAATATTTATTGTTTATCTACTATTGACTGGTAGTTTTTGTTTCACCCCGTACTTAAGCTTTTTAAAGGAACACCAAATTTCTGTAAAAAAAAGCTAACTTCAAGTGGTAATGATAACATCGTTTAAACTAGAATTATGATTTTTTAAATTAGTACTAGTTATTAGTAATACTTATAAAACCGGATACTCCACTTGAAACTATGTCACCTCAGTCAAATTGGTTAACAGCATTGTTTTGGTTTTTGAGTTATCGTGTAATAAAAATGTATACACTTTTTGTTATGATGCTTACATGCATTCCCAGAACTTGTGACGCAGTCATTACATAGATATTGTTATAAAAAGAAACATTGCATATTATTGTAAAATTTAATGATTTTTGAGGAGATATTTACAATACCATTTCGATGAACATTCCGAGCCATCCCTATATAGGCAGTGTTACCGCCTGCCTGATTACTATTTCATAATACTGAAAAAACAAAGGTTTCGATGATTTCGTCAAAAGAGGGGAAAATACATAGATATTAATGTAATCTCGAATTATTGCAGGATGTTTCGTAAAACTGAGCTGCTTACGGCTATCATCATACTGCTAATAATGAGAATATATAGAGAAACGCACGCATTTCTTCTCTAATTCGTCATTAGTAGTACTACCGCGATAAAATATTGTTACGTCTCTGTTCGTTTGGGCCCGGTATGGCCAGGTGGATAGGGTGCTCGACTCGCAATCTGAGACAAAATGTCTAGTAACTTAGAATGAAGCCTTGCATGTTCAGGTGGTTAGGGCGCTCGCCTCGCAATCTGCGAGTTCGAATCACACCAAACATGCTCGCCCTTTCAGCCATGGGGGCGTTATAATGTGACGGTCAATCTCACTATTCGTTGGTAAAAGAGTAGCCCAAGAGTTGACGGTGGGTGGTGATGACTAGCTGCCTTCCCTCTAGTCCTACACTGCTAAATTAAGGACGGCTAGTGCAGATAGCCCTCGTGTAGCTTTGCGCGAAATTCAAAAAACAAACTGTTCGTTTGTTAATTTCCGGTATAAATTCTTTCCGAGGAACTTCAGCGATACAAGTCCTTTCTTAAATAAAACTAGTTTATTCTTTCTCGATACAACTTTGCAATATACAGAATTTCCACAGTCACTTTATCTTAGCTACTTCTATAAACACACGCTATAATTCACAGCGATTCACAAACTTTACTTACGGTGCCTACTGTTCACTTGACTCAATTATCTTTCTCTATATCTATCTATGCAATTGTACCTTTTTTTCGCTGGCTTTATTTGCCGGGCTTATATACTAAAAAAGAGGGCGTCTGGAACAAACTAGAGTTGCTAGGAAAATTCATGATCCTTCGAGAAACTCCAATGCGCATGCTCCCAGCGTTGCGTGACTTCCACTGTCGTAACAATATGATAGTAAGAATGAACCATATATTCGGTGCCGGATTAACTCGAAGGCTAACCAGGCTGGTACTTCGGGGTCTCAAAGGTTTTTTGGGGGACCATCTAACTCGATTTTATACATGGGGCCCTAAAAATACATTATCCCCTTTCCACTAGTATTCTTAATCTAGTCCATTACGCATTTTGCAAATAATATGTCATGCCGCTTATATAAAGAAGATTTGTAAATGGTTATTTAGGAAAATGCCACTTATAACATCAAATGACCATGATTATATTATTGATAGGTCAATAAAATTCTGGCATTTCTACATAAAACGTTAGTAGTGTTATGAACTTTGAGCATGTTCTCTTTTGTTTGATTTGTTGCGATAGCATATTCTCAGGCAATAAAATACAGATTAGTGGGCTTCAAAAACAAACTATTTTTTCAAATCTATTTTCGACCGTTAGATTTTGGTACCGTGTTATTTACAAAGCGTAAGTTATAAGATTTTTCATGTTGATAATGAGACTAAACTGCTATGTAAAAAAAAATATCACTTCGAATCCAGATAGTCTTAAAAACTTTTTTATTTTTCACAAATTTCGCGTAAAGCTACATAAAGAGCTATTTACGCATAGCCATTCTTAATTTTCAGTTGATAGACTAAAGGGAAGGCTACGTTTGTCTGACTGAATAGTGGAATTTGACCGTTGCTCTTATAGAAAGCCCAAGACCCCAAACTGTGGAACACGTTTTTACAGCAATGGGCAGCGAACCATGAACCTTCTGAATGCCAGTCTGAGCACGCTAACTGCTAGACCAAAAAAAAAAAAGAAACCCAAGCTCCCTCAATACAAACCCCAAAACTTATTACAAAAATGCTCATGTAAGTTAACATGAAATTCTAAATTCAACGATATGACCTTTCTGATAATTCCCAGTCGTTCATTCCGTTATAAATAAAAGGTAAGCTTTTTTATTTCATTGATTACTTTAATATATTTCTTAGTTAACTTTTAATTAAATCGATTGCGG